GCTCCTTGGACCGACGGTTCTGGAACCAGACCTACGGCCAAGCCGGCGTCATCACCCATGGAGGGGACACCAGGGACACCCCTGGGTCAGGCAATCCCCCCCGGGGAAAGGGAAGGGAATCTCGCACCCGCCTGGGAGGGAATGGGGTTTCCCATCTCTGGGTGGTTTTTAATGAGATCGCCTTTCTCATCCCGATGCCAATTGCCCCAAAATGTGCACAAGGGGATGGGACACACACACCCACACCCCAAATAATACTGCTTATTAAAATCCTGGGGCTCTGGCTGCATCCCCCTGTGCGCATCCTCAGCCTGTCCGTCCCTACAAGGCAGAGGGCAGGTGGAAAATAGAGGAGGGAGAATTTTTTTCCCCCTTATGGGGGGGGAGAGAAGGAAGGAAAAGGTGGGGGAGGAACTCCAGATTGTGGCAGAAGTAGGTGGCAAGCGGGGAGCGGGGAGATGAGCACCCGCTGCGGCGGGCAGGGAGGCAGAAGAAAAGGCGGCCGGTGAGGATGGAGATAAAAGGGAAGGGGAAGACGATGCCGCTGCCTCGCTACGGGGCATCGCCTCACCCGAACTGCACGGCCTCAGCCCACGCACGCCTTTCCCCTGGCCTGGTGGGTGTTTGGATTATTACCCCACTCCTCCCCTGTGTCTCTCGGGGACATCACGCTCCTCTGGGAAATTCTCCTCCTCCCCTGTACCGGGAGCGGGGACTCTCACAGCTCCGCTACCGGCAAAGCCGGAGAGTCCTCCCCTATTAATGCCTCTATTAAAGCCCATTAATCCCTACATTTCCGCTGGGATTTTCTTCACGGGGGCAGCCCGGTATGGAAGTGCGGGGCTGCCTGCAGAGCGCAATGGCTTTGGCAAGGCCGGAGCATCCATCTCCCGGGCACGCTGGGGGATCCCGCTCGGCCTCCCGCTGAGGCAGCGGGGGAGCCCGGCCGGCTCACGCTTCGGGTCTGCTTTTCGTCTCTTCCCACGGGGACGGTGTATTAAAGCACAGGGTGGGGGATCCCCACTGACCCACGGGAGCGTGGGGTGGGCGCAGGGCTGGGCCTGGGATGACGCCGGCGGGGTACGGACGGAGTTTGCCAGCCCCCGTTTTCCCAGTTTGTGGCAAAGTGTCCCCAACTCCTTTCCCAGCACCTAGGGCAGACCATCACCACCTTCAACTACATGGGGTCCCACCAGCACCCCTTCTCCTCCCCTCCCCAGGTGGGTCCTTTCCCTGCCTCTGCTCTTGGGGAAGAAATCACCCCCTGAAGCTCTGATGTCGCAGGAACCTTGGTCTGCGGCGGGAATGATGTCACCGGCCAACCCCGTGACATCACGCTGTGGGGTGGGGAAGGGCTGCGGTGGGGCGAGGGGGTGGGGGG